TATTAGGAGGCTTGCGGCTGAGAGGAAGAAAGAAGAAGAAAAATAGGAGATAAGGTTTGTTTAGGTTAGGGTGTAATTTTATTTATTTTTAAACGTAAAAAGTTGTATAATTAGATAATGTTAAAAATGAAATTTTATGTGGCAAAAATGTTAGATATCTAATTTTCGTTTTACCTATTGTTATATAATGAATTATGTCTTAAGAGACTAATATATGACCTAATTTCTCTAATTATAAATACTATGCCAATATCCTCGCATACGCGCGGGTTGTTGTATGCATTACAAATCTGAAATTTTAGATGTTATACATTGATGAATCCTATTAAACCAATTTTGTAACTCCTAGAATTCTGGTGACCGAGTACCCAAATTTGAAGAATGGGAAGCTGCCTCGTTGAAGAAGAAGCTTTCATAAAGCGTAGGAAAGTGAAAGACGAGCGAGAGAGTCGGCGATTTGAGATCCAATGGAGTATGGCTTCCATATTGAAAATGAAAGTAATGGTCGCTGGGTCAAAGAATCTGTAAAGTTTTATGGAGATTCAATCAATGAGTCAAAGAGAGGCATAGAAAGAAGTTGAAGCGATCGTTTATCCAATTGTTTTTTTTTTTTGTAAATTATTTACACATGTCGACAAAAAAGAGAGCCACGTGTTCTTCTTCTTTTTTTTAAATGTAGTTTTTTTTTTGTCAACAAAAGTGCATTATTTATTTAAACGATCAAAGTACAAAATGAGGGAATTAGACGTCCTCCAGAGTTACTACAACATAATTGAAAAGCAATAAACCATAGAGTAGATAGGTCATCGTAAAAGATGGACAGCGAATCTAAAGCATGCTTCGGATGCGTCAAGAGGTCTTCGCGGCAAAGTCGGAGAGTCTCAGTTTGGTTACTTTATAGTGTGACTTTGAAGATCCCGGCATAAAGTTCGAGAATTCGACCGCTCTCCAAGAGAGTGAAGAAGGTACGACCAATCTCAAAGAGATGGAAGAAGGTGGAATTAGACTCTTCAACGGAGAGTAAATTACAGGATTTGAGAATTTAGAAAACTTTCAAAGAAAAGAAGCTAAGCTCAAAAGATTTTTCCAAATCTAATTTGTGAACCCATTGGGCCTAGGCATTGATTAAATAGAATATAAAACCTATTGGGCCTTAATAACAACCAACTGGGCTTAGACAAACCCATAATCTTTTCAAAGAGGCACGATGGGGCTGACGGCTGTTGTTACGCTTTTCCGGTGAGTAGAACTGTGGAGGCTCGACGGCATTAACCACAACCGGATGCAAACTCTGGTTAAGCGAAGTGGCCAGTTTACGGATGGTTTCAACCTTGGCCGCGAGACAGATCTCGGCCATGGAGGAGATGAGAGAAATCGGAGGCGGAGGTGACTTACAAGCCCATGGAGCAAAGGATGGAACCCTGGGCTGAGAGTTGGGTTCGGATCCCGTACCACCACCATCAACTTGGCCGGCTGGGGGAGACACGATTAAGGCTGGAAAGGCGGATTTAGAGGAGATGGGCGGAGCAAAGCCATAACTCATCCCGGCGCAGGTAAGTTCGTGGAGGTGAGGATGAGATCTCAGACAACCGGAGGAGCTTTGCGCCGGTGAACCCAGACCGGAGCCAGAATCATGACTCTCGAGGGAAACTGAGGCGGAGAAGTCATTGTGAGCTCTTGCGGAGGAGAGGGATCTTGTCATCGCCGGAGCAGGGATTGAATCCGGAGATTGCGAAGGGGCTGTGTTGTCGACAGTGAGTAACAAGCGGAGGTGATGGCACAGAGGCAGATGCATAGAAGCTGTGCCGCGACACGGTGGGTCTGGTGGCTCTGTCAGCTCAGGAGGTGGAGGGTCCGGTGGTTTAGGGGGAGGAGGAGAGTTTTTCATCCCCGAGGCTGGATTCACCCGAAGCCGGGAGTGAATGAGGCTCCGATCAAATCGAGTCGAACTGTCCGGTGAGCCCGAGAGGGATCGGAGCGAGAGACCAGTCATCATCTCAAGCAGAAGATTGTCGTTGGCGAAGGATAAACCGAGGCTTCCTTACCGAAGGAGAGATGTATTGCCGGGAAAACAAGAGGAGATCCCGAGAATACGGTAGTAGTCGGCTTAGGCCGCTAGGGAGACAGAGTAGCAACAACCGTGAGCTTCCATTCTCGAGGGCTGAAGGTATGACCACAACTCCTCGAAATCCTTATCTGGGAGAGAAGGGTTCGTCCTAATTCTCACTAGGTAAAAATAATAACTCTTAAAATGTAGTTCATTAACATTAATCTACTATATAAAAAGAAGAAATTAACTGTCACAGCATCATAAATAACTTGCCAAATGAAATGGTGGAGTTCGTTCGATGTTAAAACTTTCCATAATTACTCTTTAAGAGAATTATATGAAGGTTGTTGCTGGTGGAACCTAATATCCTCATCGAACTACATTTTAGAACTGTATAATTATCGATATTAGTATAGTCCCAACTATACCCATCGTCACTGAGTTTATATGGAGGGTTCAGATTACAAATTAGTGAAACATATGATGAAGTTACAATTTCGAGTAAATTCAGATTCCTTATACAATATCAATGTTAAAAAAAAGTGGTAGGCGCTAAGCGGACGGCGACCCAGTGCCTAGTGCATAAAACGTTTAATCGATGTCTAGGTGATTTTTTAGACGGTTTAAGAACATAAATGAGAAAGGTGGCGTATCAATGATTGTGATATCAATAAATGGTTCCGTATTACCGAATGTATTAGAAATTTATTTTTGTAAATAATATTTTGATGGGAGCTAGTTATTTAGGTTGTGACTAGTTAAACCATAATATAAAAAAAATCTTTTGGGTCCACACTAGTGTGGAAAAAATGAGAAAAACAAAAATTCTCACTTACATAAAGCAGTACAAAAAAATTTCTAC